CACACGCCGCAGACCCCGGGCCAGCCCGGAGCGCCCGCCACCCCCGGCACGGCAGGGGACAAGGGCCAGGGCCCGCCCGGCTCGGGCCAGAGCCAGCAGCACATCGAGTGCGTGGTGTGCGGGGACAAGTCGAGCGGCAAGCACTACGGCCAATTCACCTGCGAGGGCTGCAAAAGTTTCTTCAAGAGGAGCGTCCGCAGGAACTTAACTTACACATGCCGTGCCAACAGGAACTGTCCCATCGACCAGCACCACCGCAACCAGTGCCAATACTGCCGCCTCAAGAAGTGCCTCAAAGTGGGCATGAGGCGGGAAGGTGAATATTTCTTCTCTGCTTCTTTCCCTGAGCTTCGCCCGCCTCCCCGGCCCTCTTTCTTTCTCTCGCGGGGGTGGCTGCTGTATGGGGCTGGAGCTCCTGCGGTCCCGGCCCTGTCCCAGCTTCCCCTGTCCCCGCTGCCTTCCTCCCCCGGCGTCACCCCCCCTCCCCAACCAAGCTCGCTGCCGCTGCCTCCCCCTCCCAGCCTGCGCTCCTCTCCCTGGCTCCTCCACCCCTCCTGCTGCCTGCTCAGGATTGTGTCCCTGGGATCGTGAGCTGTGGCTTAAAATCCCTCACTTCCTCTGTCTTGGATGTGCTCGGTGTGTGTCTCTTTCTCGCGTGTGCGTGAGGATGCTTGGGGGCTATGCTGGCATGAACTTGGGGAGGGGTGCTGATTTCCCCCAGAAAACTCTTCTGTGTTTTTCATTCCACTTTCCCCTCCACCTCTTCATACCCTTTATTTAAAATTGGGGCGGGCTGGGGACTGGAGTATCCTGAACCATAGATTCATTGCTGCATCACCCTTTTGGAAGCTTAGCTTGGAAAAAGAGGAGTGAGATTTATTGCACTTGTAGGTCTAATTAAGGGGGAAGGGGGGCTTCTGGCCTGTTCACTGGTTCCCTCTCCTCTTCACCAAGCTGGGGCCGCCTCCTCCAGAGCTGTGGCCTTGTTTTCACCCCTCTACTTTGAAAGGAAAGTTTGTGACTGAACCGTCCTTTCATAGTTGTGTCATTTTTTTAAAAGCATGATACTCGTTTTATTTCTTCATCAAACTCCACCCTCTGCTTAAATACTGCATACAAATTACAATTTACAACGGCATTTACCGATCCTTCTGATTTGGCTATAATGCATAGACTGCAGCTGGCATGAGCTTCCACTTCATTTAATCCCTGTGTTGTATGGGTTTGGTTTCTTTTAACACAACTTTTGATGTTGTATTTAGATATGCTTCATGTTCATGTGGCAAGAGATGCAGCACTTTTCTTATAAATATATTTAGCCGTTTACAGTTAAAGTTTATCTCCTGACAATCATTAAAGATGTCTTATAGTCAAATTAGCGAACCAGTCAATTTTGCAGAATGCAGATTACTCCTTCTTGTAATTGACTTTAAAATTATATTTTATATGCCACAAGAAAAGAAATTGAATTTCTTCAGATCTCAAGGAGCAGGCAAATATGATGACTTCATTTCTAGCTCCAGGGAGATTTTGTAGGCATCTGAAAAAAAAAAATCTGAATTGTGCTCTCATTTAATTGAAAAATAACTGCCAAGTTCAAAACTATAATTAGAAAAAAGTATTCTAGCTGTTATGTTTCAAGAGCTTAAATTGCATTGGGGTTTGCATTAAAATTAGAATCAAAGCAAACTTAAGAAAATAGTGCACAACCTGAAATAAGACAGCTATGTGTACATGGACATATCTATATTAATTTGTTGGGGGGAGAGTTCAGTAGCCCTAACTTTTCCTAAAGTTGTCTTTGTTTACATGGCAATTTAAAACGCTGGCACTGTTGAAGTAAAACATACACATTTAAAAAAAAAAAAAAAAACTTTGGTCAGCTTTAAGAACTCAAAGCATGCTTACGTTTTGCATTCAGATGGTTAATGAATCCAGTGTTTTTGCAGTTGCAAGCTCGTGCATTCACTGGGCAAAAGCTGGCTGCAGGTTGCAGTGGCACCTCACAGGACAGACATTAATTATATTTCCCACTTTTTTCAATAATGTTTGGCTACTGTAAGTTCAACTTTTTCTTGAAATTTTTCAATTTTCTGTTGCTTTTAACAGTGAACTTTGTGTGGGGCGAAGGGGAGGAGGGGTTAGGGGAGGGGTGCAGAATACTTGTTTTCTATTCAAAAGTTGTAAGTGGTTATGTAACTTGTATCTATTTTAAGGATAATTCTATAGCATTTTGAGAGAATATGGAAACATTTTGCGCAAAACACTGCTTGCTTGCAAATGAAGAGGCGGCTAGGCATTTGCCTAGAACCACAACCTTCCTCTGGTTTCGCCTGTTCTTTTTTGTTTGTTTTGTTTTACTCTGCTTTGTTTCATTCTGGAGGGGTGAGTGGGATTTCATTAACCTGTGTATCACACCTTGGTGGTGGAGGAGGTTGGGTGGCACTTTCTTGACCATGCGGGGCTGGGGGCCCTGAGATCAGGCCTAGTTCTGGCAGGGCTAAGGTGGCCAGGGGCGCAGGCGATGTCTGGGCATACTGAACTGCGGAGCTGGAGGCTCTCACCCCAGATTTCCTCCCGGTGTGGGCTGTGAGTGAGAGCGAGCGCGAGAGAAGATGCGCCGGGCGCGTGTGGCTGTGGGAAGAGCCTCCGCATTGTGTCGGGTGCGCTGCGGCGCGCCGATGTTCGCAAGCCCCCTGGATGCACATTGCCTCTTTTCTCTCTTTCTTTTTGTCAGCGGTTCAGCGAGGAAGAATGCCTCCAACCCAACCCAATCCAGGCCAGTACGCACTCACCAACGGGGACCCCCTCAACGGCCACTGCTACCTGTCCGGCTACATCTCGCTGCTGCTGCGCGCGGAACCCTACCCCACGTCGCGCTACGGCAGCCAATGCATGCAGCCCAACAACATCATGGGCATCGAGAACATCTGCGAGCTGGCCGCGCGCCTGCTCTTCAGCGCCGTCGAGTGGGCCCGAAACATCCCCTTCTTCCCGGATCTGCAGATCACCGACCAAGTGTCCCTGCTGCGCCTCACCTGGAGCGAGCTGTTCGTGCTCAACGCGGCCCAGTGCTCCATGCCGCTGCACGTGGCGCCGCTGCTGGCCGCCGCGGGCCTGCACGCCTCGCCCATGTCCGCCGACCGCGTCGTGGCCTTCATGGACCACATCCGCATCTTCCAGGAGCAGGTGGAGAAGCTCAAGGCGCTGCACGTCGACTCGGCCGAGTACAGCTGCCTCAAAGCCATCGTGCTGTTCACGTCAGGTGAGGCTGTGGTCGCCGGGAGGGCAGGCCGCGCCGGGGACGACAGCAGGCCGCGCTCCGCCCGGCGCGGCCTCCT